TGTATTATATTATTTTAAGAATATTTTTCGTGATTCTCATTGTTGGCATAGAATCAATAGGTAAGGAATTAAAACTGTGAAGCCTTTTCCAAACACAACTGAAACAGAACAGACATTCAAAGAGAAAGAAAGAGACCTCGTAGGACAGAGCGAGAGAGAGAGAGAGAGAGATAGATAGATAGCCCGTCTCTATTTAACTTTGTTCGATGACATATTATATTAAATTTTGTTGAGCATTTGTAATGGATGAGGCAATTGTCGCAATTAATTCAAGCGAATTGCTAGCCATAAAGCTGCCATAAAATGTGACAGCGCAATATTTAGCGAATGATGGGCGGAATTGGTCTAATCATTGGCCATTAATCATGGCTAATAACTAATATTGTTTTAGTGCTACTTTTCAGGCTAAAAAGTGAAAATTTGCGATTTGCAGTGAGAGGGAGAGAAAGAGAGAGACACACAGAGAGAGAGAGAGAAATAGAGAAATGCCGACACTGGCGAGGCCACAAAGCAAAGTGCATATAAATGAAATGAATATTGCCCACTTACAGCTGTGCCATAAACTCGAACACGGCTTTTGCAATAAAATCCATTTCGCCGCATGCCATAAATTATGGCCCAGCAGGGCACGAAGCCCAAAGAGAAAGAGTGTGTGAGAGAGAGAGTGAGAGAGAGGTGGAGAGAGAGTGAGAGTGTAGTGAACCTAAACTGAGCAAACGAGTTGAGAGTCATAATTCATGGAAACTAACAAAGCACATTGGAAATAATGACGTATAGCTTATGTATTTAGTGTGCCTGTGTGTGTGTGCGTGTGTGTGTGTGCGTAATTACGCCCATGCTCCAACTGGCGCAAGTCATAAACTACAAAATATTGAAGCTTTTATAACACTCAATGGGCAGCCATAAATTATTATGATACCATTGTAAAAATGGCAAATTTCTTATCGGTACTTAAGCGCTTTTTTCTCTTCGACATAACATAAATACACATACACATACATACATATATATAAATACATATATATGTATGTATACACACTCTTTAATGGAGTACGCCCGTATTCTGTTGTGCTACGATAAGGACCGCATTTAAGAAAAATTATTTACGATTAAGCTAATATCGGAAAATTAGAAAAAACAAAATTGAAATATAAACAAAACTTATTGAGTTTATTAAAAATAAATCATAAATAATAATAAAAAAGCTTTTCAGTTTGATAAAAAAAAATTGTATAATAAAAAAAATTATCTTTGAGTTTGTTTAAAAAAATACAAAAATTCATTTGATTATTTGATACTAAAGTGGATTAAATCAAATCAAGTTTTTAAATATTGAAGCAAAATATCTTTTAAATTCTGTTCTCGTTAAGCAGGAATTTACAATAGATTTATAAACTGATTCCAAGATTGGAGAGAAACTTGTTCAACTGAAGAATATATATTTATAGGCTTGAAGAGTTAAATTTTTAGTCAAGTCAAGACCTACATATATTACAAGAAAGGAATAACATTGGGGCATTTGGTATTAAGGCACTAGGCCTTTTGATTCTCTAAATATTATAGAAATGCATACACTCTATAGGTACATACACTCTATATTCCCCCGTTCTTTAAGGTCTTCAGCACGCGATTTCTGGCTCACATTTTATGACTCTGATTGCAGAGCACGATCACTCGATGATCACCCGCTGTTTCCTCAACACTTTCGCATTGAACGAATGTCGATTTGAAATACTTTTTGATTTTTATGGCAGCCCGTCCCCCTTTGAGGTAGTCCTCTACTGCTGATAGGCCACTGATTCCACGAACGCATACGTTATCAGGGGAAACTTATCGATTCGGAACCCCAAATGCTTGCCACTCAGTCTCGTTTTTAGCACAATTAGTCATAATTCAAACGAGCGCGGGCTGATAAAGATTCCGTATTGATTTTAGCGTTTGCTTGTGATTTAGTTCTCGTGCAATGTTTATATGTTATAGACAGGCGACTTGCACGATTTACGACTGAACAATAGTATTTATTAGGGACGTAAATAGACGACATTCATGTCTGCGGGCTCTAAATAGTTGATTGAATTATTTAGGACTGAGCTGGCTAATTGGAACAAAAGCGAACAACTTAGAGCCCCAGCACAATTTACTGGGTGCTAAAAAGAAAAAATATAGCAACAAAAATAAATGTGCTAAATTTAATAATGTATGGTTAATAAAATAAAGCAAAAAAATAAACAAATGGGTAGTTATGGCACTTCATTAGCACTCGCTCACATTAAATAAAATTTCCCTTTGCTTGTTGCTATTTTTTGTTTT